TAATGCCATCTAGAGTAACTATATGTTTAGATAGTGAGTCTCTGAGGTTTTTGGGTCCAAGTACAAGAATTTCTCTAGACCTTAAGACAAGTTTGTAACTTCGATAACTGATTAAATAACTGATGGATTGACAGGTATAACTGGATATCATCTGCATAACAATGAAAGTTAGTTGAGTGATTCCTAATAATGTTGCTTAGGGTCCAAGCACAGATCTTTGTGGAACTCTATGACTAACTTTAGTGTTTATGGAGTCAATAAAATACATCAATAAAATTTTTTATCTTTCATTAAAATCTATAAATACAAACTATAAAGTCTTTAAATAAAATCAATGTCTACAGACACTGAGAACCGTGGAGGGTCGACGTCCTCCTGTGTTGGAACCAGTTCTGATATAAATGAGGTTATTGATAAATGATCAGATTTATTTGTCAATTAAGTAACATGAGATATAAAATAATTAATAATTAATAAACATACTGATCGTGTGCATTTATTGACAAATATTTATTAAATATGTACAAATATATGAAACTTTTATGAATAAGTGGAACAGGAAGTGAAGGAAGGAAGGAAGGAAAAAAATCAAAGTCAGCGATCAGTGATCAATACTGTTCTGATCAATACAAAGACTTTCATTCAGAAATGAAAATATGAAACAAACTCAGATCAAACTTTTTATTTTTTATAAAAATCCACTTTTATATAAAAACAGAATCCCTTCACAATAAAAGCTGTCTTTTTTTCAAATTAAATCATGAAAAAGTTCCTGTGGCTTTGATTGGCTCAAAAGTCCTGAAGTCTTTATTAACACAAAACATTGGAACAAAAAAAACTTTATTCATCTAAAGCTCGTTAACATGAATCCAGTGTCAAAGTTCTCCATATTTATGCTCAGCACATCGATTAGTGATAAAACTGATACTGACATTGATACTGATAATAACGATATCTATTTATGTTCTTTATAAAACCTGTAACATTAAAGTTATTTTCAGTTTTCATCAACGTGTCCACATTCAGCTATTGATCAATCAGTTCATTAATTGATTAGCAGTTTCCATGTTCAACTGTTAGTTTATTGATTTATAGACTGAATGATTCATTGATTAATCAATTCAAAATGATGATGATGATGAAGGAGGCACTGAAGGTAAACAGCCAATCAGGTCAAAGGTCACACTGGTTCAATAAACATTCAAAGGTTGAAAGAGCAGAAAAGGTCTCAGTTTGTGTTCTTAAACTTCAGGAAAAGTAAAGGCAGTCTGGTGCTGAGCAGTGACAAAACAACAAAATAAACAACAATAACAATAAATGTTCTCTTTCAGGACTTTGGCAGCTACAGGAAAAGAAGAAGGCACGTCTGACTTAAGAAAGCAGGTGGAGGCCCCACCCACTACAGATGGAGCCTTCAGTAGCTGAATTTCACCTTCTCAATGTCGGAGATCAGAGTCCTGGCCAGGTAGATTCCCACCATCTGATCACAGGTAAACAGACTAGAACAGTACAGACTAGTACAGACTAGTACAACATTCAACTGTCTGCTCCTCAGGTTACCAGTAAAGGACCAGTACTCCCATTATATTACCATTAAAGTACCAGTAAAGTACCAGTACTCACATTAAAGTTCCAGTAAAGTTCCAGTAAAGTTCCAGTACAAGTACTCACATTAAAGTACAAGTACTGTGACAGAGTATTTGTACCTGCAGCAGAGAGATCACAACGAAGACGATGGCCACAGTGTAGAGATTCCCCGGTAACCAGTCCTCTAATGCAGCAATGCAACCTTTAACATAGATATCATCATTCCAGGCCCTCTGTGCAAAGAACGTTAAAGAACGTTAGAGAACACCTTTACGACAGAGCCTTAGAGAACACGTTACTGGGAGAACATTGGAGAACACGTTACCGGCAGAACCTTAGAGAACACCTTAACGACAGAAGCTTAGAGAGCACGTTACCGACAGAACCTTAGAGAGCATGTTAGACACAGAACCATAGAGAACACGTTATAGATAGAACGTTAGAGAGCACGTTATAGACAGAACCTTAGAGAACACATTACCAACAGAACGATAAACTGAAGGAACAGTAAGTGAGCTCACCTTTGGTCTGTTTCTCACATCGTAACCACACTGACTGTTCACCACCGAGTCCTGAAACAAACACAAACATACTGTTAACACACTTATTATATTTCTGTGTAATAATCATTATTGATCAGTGATCAACTCACAGCAGGATCGGTGATGCAGCAAGAGAAAGGAACCCCACACTTCTCTCTGCTGCGATGAGTCCCGTTACAGCTGAAATAAACATTCTGATTCCAGTCGTCAGGTTCCTGAGCTCCACAGCAGTGGTTCTGTTCGTAGAACAAGATAATAAAGGTGTAACTGAAGGTTCCACAGCTGTGGTTCTGTTCATAGAACAAGATAATAAAGGTGTAACTGAAAGTTCCTGAGCTCCACATTATGACAGGTTACCATCCTCTGCAGAGAGTCGATAAGGTTCTGCAGGTCAATGTCGTCTCTGTACGCTTTGATGTTTGCCAGGAAGAACTCGTTGATCCACTCTCTGACCTGACTCTGAAAAACCACCGCCAGCACTGCTGCCGTCAGCTCCAGGATGAAGATGAAGCCAATCACGCCCGAAAACTGAGCGCAGAGCAACGACTAGGTTAACTTATGTTAGCGTAGCGTACAGATGTGTTTAACGTACAGATGTGTTAGTAGAACAGATGTTTTCCCTCAGAGCTCCCACACAGCCGGCAAATCCCAGGATGAAGGTGACTCCGCCCACCACCAGGACCAACCAGACCGGGTCAAAACCATGCAGCTGGGTCACCTGGGTCAGATCCAACAGGACTCCCTGTAGAACAGATGAGAGTTCTATGTAATCTGATGTAACATGTACGCATAGAATTCAATTCAAATAATCAAACTAAATTTTAACTCGCTGTCATTTTTATTTAATGTTCAGAACCAGAATCGTACACACGATATATTCTCGCAGATTGCTAATATGGAAAGACTAATAAAGACGCTCTGTTAAGTTTTTAGTCAATTAAGGGTGTTTTAAAGTGCGTTAACATGGAAATTAAGCTAGTCTTAAAGACAGATGTACGGATGTATTTTTCTGTTTGATGAGGAACTATTGCTCTGAATAGAACAGAAGAGAACAAACAGGAACACAGATTGGGAAACACATTGCCGGATATATTGACTGACGGTGGCCGGATATCGCCCAGTCCTAGTTTGTAAACTGTTAACAATACTGCTTTATTATTTGAATACAGTTCACTCACCTTTTCACTCCACGCCCAGAAACCTGCTGCAATGAAGGCAGCTCCAGCCAGCTGAAACACAAAACCAACGTTTAGACGGGTCCAATGACAGACACACACCAGGAGAACAGAGGAGAACAGAACAGAACAGAGGAGAACAGAACAGAACAGAGGAGAACCCAGATTGAGAAACACATTTCCTGCTCCATCAACCGCACAGGATACCATGACATCACTTCCTGTTAATGGATAACAGGAAACAGCTTTCAGTCTCAAAGAAAACTCGGCTGTCTCATGTAAACAGGTAAAGAGGTGTAAACCCTCTCTTAAACACCTGTTTAACCTGCTTTACCTCTTACACCTTCTTTACACCTCTTTCACCTCTTTTACCTGTTTACCTGTCGTCTACACCTGTGGTTGGTTAACCCCCAAAA